TGTGGCAGGAGCATCGCGGCCACATCAAGCCAAACGGCGACAATGATTTCCTAGTTTTCTTTCTTAAAATTGATTTCTACATAACGCTAATTGTACCTCCATCACAAACAACCCTTTAATAATAAAGATATACAATCATAGTTTATATTTCTTAAACTTGGTTATTTGTTTTGTGGTGATTTGGCTTTGTGAAAATAGAAATCAGAGGGATATAGTACATTCATGGTGGAATAAATCACCTGCAAATACCAAAACCCTGTTTCTACTCGTTATTTTCCGTTCTCCTTGTTATAGTGTGGCCATGTGGTGAGTACAAAACATGCATCAAGCGCTAGAAATATATTTATACGTCATACACATACATATTATATGAAAAAGATGCGGTAAGTATAAACTAAATTGACTATACGAAGAATGAGCTGATGATTGTCGTCCACAGACCAACATCACACTTCACGTATGGATTTTGCTTGTATGGATCTTCATTTAGTTATTTATATGTGAAATCTCAGTGATAAGACGGCTAAATACACCAGCAATCTATGGACCCACAATAAGATCAAGAGATATCCAACGGTCAATCCGAAAACAATAGATCTCTTGATATGGATGTTCTATGTAATGAAATTCTCTCGAGAAAGTACTCCACTGGTCATTCAAATTCTTTATAGGGAAAGCATTTCACAAGGAAAACTGCAGCAAAGTAAAGGATGCTCATAACAGTTTAATCAGTGTCGCTTATAAGAGATGCACTGCAGCAGTAGAAGAATGGCGTATGATCATATAAAAAATGGAATGACATTCCCTGGAATATCTATTCAGGTTAACAAGATAAAGAACCTTTGTGTACAATTCGAAGCAAATATTACGAGCTGAAATCTTCAATGCGTCCAACTTGTACCACTGGCGCTCTTACACTCTCGGTCTCTCGCACAAACTCTTTCTACACCTATAAAATCTGTAAAAGAAAAACAACATTACCAACATTAACATGATGTAGAATTTGTAAGGACATGAAGCAAAACAGCAGGATATAGAGTAACATGGTCTCTTCTGTTAGGAAAAGGATCTTCTGTTAGTAATAGACTTTGTAAATATTAACCCCTCATCATGTAAATGTCAAATTATGTTTTAAAAAGCGGGACAAGATGATACATTGCATAAATCAAACTGAAACCGAAATGAAACATTGCATCTACAGATCTACTGAAATATTAGTAATCATTTCTGGAAACAGAGAATGACATTTGTAGTCCACAATTGTTATCTACACATGCTTATCCTGTATATATGCTATCCACCCAGCACGATCTTTCATAAGAGAATGTCACCTTCAACTATCTTTTACCAAAAGAAAAGGTGCAAGCACAAAAGGAAAGCCCAAAATTTCTTGTCGAGGATCAAAAACAGAAATATTTCAGTAGGATACACCCCTCCCCCTTTTCTTCGTATGCCTACCCCATCAACAAGTTCTATTTGCATTGAACTCAGTGCTTGGCCTTTTCTCTTGCACATCTTGTCTATCTATAAAATAAAAAGAAATCCTATGTTACCGAATATTGATGAAACTTCTGCTTGATACATCATTGCCTAAAATTGAAACTATATTATAGAAGTGTGACTGCGTATAAGAGAAAATGCATGATAACTATAGGGGTGCATTTTGCATCCTGAAAGAATACCAGCTTTGGATGTAAAAGGTGAATCAATTTTTACCAAACTTAGACATGGAGAAAAATAGAGGGGCATCCTGTAGTGAAAACAATCTTGGGATGTACGTAAAAATGCAAATGCTAGAAGCTTGTCACATGTGTGCACTGCTTAAAGGCAATGAACCTCTTTCGATGCTGTCTACGCCTTTCTGCTAAGGAAGATTTAAATCTCGTGAAAATACAGATAAAATTTCACGGTATACAAAAGCGTGAAAAGTAAACGGTGCACATAGAAAATATAAAAAAAACAAGATGTAGTATTTCTGTAAGGACTTGTCTAGTGATTTTATTGGAACATTTACCATATGCTTCTGCGGATGCAAAACAATTAATAGCGTGGAACTTTCTAAACACACATAAATATGATATTTCTGGACTAAACAATAGATGCAGTAGTAATCCTCATAAATGTTCTCTTATGTTTCTCCCATTGTATTGATCACATAATATAAGAAACAGATTATTTTTCCGAACTACAAAGCTTACAGTGAAATGCGTATCTCTCATAGTTTTGTTGTGTGCACATGAGATTGCAGAATGCATGTATCATTAGAAGTCTAGGTACATGCCCTCCATTATCTCAGAAAAGATGCGTGCCTCAACCCAACCTACTTGTAATGTGAAGCAGTGCATGAATCGAGAGAAGGGAGGCACAATCTTTCATGGCGTGCTAGTCTAATCTGATATGAACCCTCATGAATGAATGAAGAACAAAATGAACACAGATAGAAGGCAACCCTGGGTATACACTGTCGGATAGCATCCGGCGGCACGAACCGTAGCTAAACGCGCCGAGGACACGTTCTTCGTCGCGCCGCTTCAGCCGCAGAAGCAAAACCACCGTCTTCGGCGGCGGCGGAGCAACCGCATAGGTAGAGGAGGAAGGGGAGGGGTCGGTCGTCAATGTCACGGACCTGGATGACGATGATGGAGTCAGGCCATGGGTAGCCATAGCGATCTCTGATTTCTCCTCGTGAGATGCACGAACAGGGACCAGCAGCGCTAGCAAGGAGGAGGGCGAGCAGGGCCGTGGTCGCGTCCCACGGCGTTAGGCACCAGGCCGCTGGACGGTGAGAGCGTCGCCCACGGCGCCGCTGGCTCACCGCGCTGCAGCACGTCCTTGGAGAAGGCCATCAACTGGAGGCAACGCCGGGCTGTAGCTGTCGTCGCTCTTCTTGGCCTTCATGAGACTTTGAAGCCGATGACGTACCCATCACCGTCGGCGAACCCAGCATCCATGATCCAGCGAAGGAAGGAGCTTGGTTGACGCCGTTGCGATGCCACCACCGCTGTATTGGAGCACGGCCTCCCAGTCCTTGCCTCGATGGTGATGGGGGGGCTCCCACGCCGTGATCGTACTTTTTTTGTGCAGACCAGTGTGAGAGGCGATGAGAGGGTTGGGGAAGATCGGGCATCGGACATGGGTTCGTGCGTCGCACGAGAGGGGAGATCGTGGGTGCAAGGATCGGGATAAGACGGAGGCGTGGATCTTGGAAAAGGAAGCTCTGCTAAAAGCAAAATTGCGAATAAGTTCAAACATCAAAGGTACCTGCCGAAGACCAGGACCCGTCTTATTTGCTGAAAACATGTCTGTTTAGGGACTCTTTCCTTTCTGCGTCTTTTTTTAGGAAGGAACCGTGTGAGGACTATCGATCGCCAGGCGGTGGTGGATCCGGCTTGCCTGCTCCCTCCCAGCTCCCATCCGTGCTCCCACTTCATCCTACGGCTGTCTTTTTCCTTTTTTCTTTTTAATCTAATTATCTCCCCTCCTGATTTTAAGGGGGTGGGGCCGAGCCTTATTTTGTTCCAATCAAATCAAGGCACGTATGCGGGAGCACGGATGGGCACACGGGGAGGGAGCAGGCAAGTCTCGTCGACGGGGGTAACCATCACGACGTTCGATCCTCCTTTAATAATAGAGATATTTTTAATATAGGCGAAATCCCAATTTTTATTAGCATTTGACAAACAAAAAGAATATCTCGAGATCTATTATGCTTAATTACTTATCTGCTAAAGTAATTTCTTCAGCAGGACAACCAGAAGTATGGTGCCAGCGGTGACCGCTGGTTCTTCTGGAGACTAGGTTACATCAACCCAACTGCGTCTTTACTGTAAAATCTGCCTACCACTTGTGGATGTCGAGGAGAAGACAGAGGGCGGGTCAACATGAATCGTCCAATCCCGTTCAGAAACACAAAGCATATATGGCGCTGTGGGAGACTAGCGCGCCACCGAAAGCGAAGATTCATATGTGGCGAATGATACGTAATGGACTGGCTGTGGGATCAGAACTCCACCGACGACGAATCAAACCGGGTGTTTTTTGTGTTGCATGCGGAAGAGAAGAAACCATTCTACATCGCTTCTGGGCATGTCAGCATTCCTCTCAGTTCTGGGAGCTTTTGCGTTCGGAAAAAGGTATTGCGGTGGCAGCCCCACCGGGTCAGATTGATACCCAGAGCGTGCTAGCTCGATGGCTTCTTGAGTGGTTCTCTGGTGCATCCGACTACGAGAAGGAGGCAATGATTCAGGTGACGTACGGTTTATGGCTGGCGAGGAACAGGCGAGGGACGGAAACCGGATTCAGCAGCCACATGTGATAATGGAAGCAGTGCATGCTCATATGCTGGATTGGACGAATGCTCACCAGCCCAAGGTGCGCACGAGAGAGGTGAAGGAAGTGCAGAAGTGGGCAGCTCCGGCGAAGGGATGGATTAAGATTAACTCAGATGGAGCTGTTTCCAAGGATGGAGTTAAGGCAGGAGGCGATGCAGTGCTACGGGACCACAATGGTGCTTTTTTAGCTAGGGTAAGCCATCTTTTTCCTAACATTGCAGACCCGGAAGCTGCTGAAATTCTAGCATGCAAGAGAGGTTTACAGGTGGCTGAGGAGTTTGGAGCTCAAAATGTCCATGTGGAATTGGATAGCCAGCATGTAGTGCAGATGATCAATCAAGATGGCAGGAACTTCTCGGCGGTGGGTCCGTGGATTCATGACATCAAGCAAATGTTGGAGATGAAGCAAGGAGCCAAAGTGACTTGGGTTCCACGTTCGGCAAATGTCGCTGCGCATAAGTTGGCTAGAGTAGGTGTGGGTGATGAGTTATGTAAGGTTTGGTTGGGGGTGCCCCCAGACTTCATTTTGGATGTAATCTCGGATGACATTCCAGGCTTTGCGGAGTTTTAAATAAAGCAGCGACATTAATCCTAAGAAAAAGCAAAGTCGGTCTTGAAAAATCTTTTAGTTACATCCCTCAATTCTTTGACCAACGCCCTTCAGCGAATATATTTCCTCCAACGCTCTAGGTGATCGGTCCAGTTGGAAGGTGCGATATATCTCTGCTTAATTTTTTCAAGAAAAGGAGGATGACCCCCGGTCTTTTCATCTGGGTGATGAATGCAGTCACTTTATTAATTATTCTCACAAGACCTTACAAAGTCATACAACAATAAGACTAAATTCACTGTCTAAGCAACAACTGTCGCTACATCTATCCAATTGATGAAGGGGCACAGATAGTCTGGGTCTAATACTAGACATCGCAGCCAAACCTAAACATCTAAGACCTGATGTCCCAACTAGGACGCCTGCCGGGTATGGGGCACCTACCAGTCCGGCGCATTCCTCAACCAGGACGCCTGCCGGGTATGAGGCCGCCTGTCGGTGTCAAAACCGGCGGATCTCGGGTAGGGGGTCCCGAATTGTGCGTCTAGGCGGATGGTAACAGGAGGCAGGGGACACAGTGTTTTACCCAGGTTCGGGCCCTCTTGATGGAGGTAAAACCCTACGTCCTGCTTGATTAATATTGATGATATGGGTAGTACAAGAGTAGACCTACCACGAGATCAAGGAGGCTAAACCCTAGAAGCTAGCCTATGGTATGATTGTTGTTCGTTCTACGGACTAAAACCTTCGGTTTATATAGACACCGGAGAGGGCTAGGGTTACACAGAGTCGGTTACAATGGTAGGAGATCTACATATCCGTATCGCCAAGCTTGCCTTCCACGCCAAGGAAAGTCCCTTCCGGACACGGGACGAAGTCTTTAATCTTGTATCTTCATAGTCCAGGAGTCCGACCGAAGGTATAGTCCGGCTATCCGGACACCCCCTAATCCAAGACTCCCTCAGTAGCCCCTGAACCAGGATTCAATGACGACGAGTCCGGTGCGCAGATTGTCTTCGGCATTGCAAGGCGGGTTCCTCCTCCAAGTACTTCATAGAAGATTTTGAACACAAAGGTAGTGTCCGGCTCTGCAAAATAAGTTTCCACATATTGCCATAGAGAGAATAATATTTACACAAATCTAATCTGCTGACGTATTCCGTAGCGTGACATCACACCACGGCCAAGTCTTTATTCGAATCGTTTTACTGTTCTACCTCAGCGCATTTAGCGAGGCGGTTTCCTTGGCACGTCTTGTCAAAGCAGAGATCGTGTCCCCTTATTTCGGGATTCTCATCAATACGGGTGTGGGTAACCCAACCGCGCCATTGATTATGACGCTTGGGAGATAGGCGAGTTTTACCAGGCTGGTGGGGACGCATAGTCGCGTCCGCCCATATAAGGGGATAAGAATCCACCTTTTCATCCACGCCTTCTTCCTCCTTTGCCTATCCATTTCCGCGCACTCGAGCTCCAGCGCCCAAGTCCGCACACCCCACCTCAACCTTCTCCAGCCATGTCCAGAGCGGGAGGCAAGTGGATGGTCTCCTCCGTTACGGAGGGACACATCAAAAAACTGAGAAAGGCCGGATACTTGTCTAACGATATTGCGCACCGGCTTCCCGAAGAGGGGCAGCTCATCCCTACCCCTAGGCCCCATAAGAGGGTGGTGTTCCTCCCCCATTTCCTCCGCGGACTGGGCTTCCCTCTCCATCCATTTGTTCGAGGGCTCATGTTCTACTATGGCCTGAATTTCCATGATCTAGCCCCGAACTTTATCCTCAATATCTCGGTGTTTATCGTCGTGTGCGAGGCTTTCTTCTGCATCCATCCCCATTTCGGCCTATGGCTCAAGACTTTCAATGTCAAGCTGAAGGTGGTGTGCGGCACCCAGGCGGAGTGCGGAGGCGCCATGGTGGGCAAGATGCCCAACGTCCTATGGCTCGAGGGCTCCTTCGTGGAGTCCCTAAAGGGGTGGCAATCGGGGTGATTTTACATCACCGAGTCGCGCGACCCTGAATGGGTCGCAGCCCCCGAGTTTTGATCCGGACCCCCTATGCGGCTCGCCTCCTGGAAAGAGACAGGCCTGTCGTGGGGTAAAAAAGGAGAGCTGACTGGACTCCAAACATGCGTCCAAACCCTGGTGGACAAGAAGCTCAAACTTGTCAACATAGTCCAGGTTATGCTCATCCGCCGGATCGTCCCGTGTCAACAACGGGCTTTCAACCTGTGGGAGTTCGACCCAGCGCGGCACCGAACTCTGAGCAGGCTCTTCGACACGATGTACGAAGATGCCTGGAAGGTGCTTTTCAAGGGCGCCGAGGCCCCCACATCCGCTGCCGAGGATCGCGGATTCAGCATGCAGCGTCACGCTCATGCGGTAAGCTATTTTTACCTTTTACAGGGTATTAGTTTTTCATAGTTTGACTCCATGTGGGATCTAAGCTCCCTTACCTTTGACAGGATTGGCAGGAGACGTCCAGACAGATCAACTGTCCGGCTCCTTTGCCCGAAGGCCCAGTGGACGCTCGCTTGGCGAAGCTGCTGGTTCCGGCACCCTATGTGGTGCCGGAGAAGAAGGCCAAGAAGAAGGCCACGGGGACTCAAAAGAGTGCCCGGCGCCAGGAGGTGTCGGATTCATCATCCGACGACTCCAAGGCGCACTCCTCCCACGAAGACGAGGAGGAGGAAGAAGAGACCTCTCCCCCTCCAGCGGAAGGAGGGAAGAAAAGGAAGGCCGCCCCAACTGGGGAGGCCGAAGGGTCCAAGAAGGGGAAGACCCCTCCTCCGGACTACTCCACCAACGCCAACAACGGCGAAGAGGAGTGGCCGCACAGGGCCAAGCCCCTGGCGAGATCGTAAGTATCCGGATACCAGAGTGATTCATAGTATTCCCCCATTGCACAACTTTTCCTTACGTCGAACACGTTTATGCAGTCCGCCCAAAGACCGGCTTGACGTGTCGTCGAGCGGTTCCCTGGATTCGTCGGATGTGAATTTGCTTCCAACGGCTACCTCCCCCAATCCTACGGACGACGCCGAGGCGGCGTCCCAACAGGTTCCAAGCCAGGAGGAGGTGGTCCTGGAGGCGCCACAAGGCGACCTCCCGGACTCCAGGCGTGAAGGGGATAGAACCCCCAAGGGTTCCAAGTCCGGCTTTGAGCCGGACACTGCGCCGGAACCTTCAACGGTTCCGGACTCCGGTAGGCAGCCTCCTTCCAAGAGGAGCAAGCCTAACGAGTCGGTGACCTCCGTCCAACCGGAGGCACCGGACAATTTGCTGGAGGTTCTTAACGGCGCCTCCATCGACGAGGAGCGCCGCACTATTATGAGTGCGGTGATCCAGAAGGTTCAGTCCGCCAAGAGCGGACTGACTGAAGCCTGTGCCAGCCTTCTAATAGGCTTCGAGGTAAGTAAAGAATATGTAAAAATATTACCGCATAGACAGTAGCCCCTGATGCTCTGTTCGGCGTTCGGAAAGAAAAGCCGAATAGAGGATCTAATAACATTCGCAGAAGTCTAACATGATCAAGTCAATATGCGTATGCAGGCTTCGCTGCTGGCCTCCACCGCATTGACTGCGGAGGTGGATACGCTGAAGCAAAACCTCGCGCGGTCCGAGAATGAGCTTGGCCATGCCAAGAGGCAACTCGAGGAGAAGGAAGGTAAGTAATACCTTGCGCAAGTATATAGAGAAGATGTGGTTGCAAAAAATGATAGGATCAACGTGCTATTATAGGGGCCACGACCGAGGTGGCAACCCTTAAGAAAGCGCTGTCCGAGGCCAAAAACAGAGCGGCCGCGGAGCGCACAGAGAGAGGGAAGCAGGAGGCACGGGTGGAGGAGGTGCAGAAAGAGCCCCAGGCTCTCGTGAAAAAACACGAGAGTTTGGAGCTTGACTCGAAGACGCAAGCATCCGAGCTTGCAGCAGCCC